TTAACAATTTTATTAAAATTTGTTCACCACTATAACAACATCATTAATATAAATCCTAATAAAGATTTATTTAATTTACATTCATTATCAAAATAATGACTAGTACATAAATATAATCTTGTTTAGCTCTACCACTCCAAATATCAGCAGTTAGAGCCACACTAACATGAAAGTATGTATTTATTTTTTAATTCTAATTTCATTTTTCTAAACAATTTTTTAAATCATTTTAGTTGCAGTTTTAGAATAACTTTTAAATCTTGGAAAAAATGAATTTTGAACAAATCTTTCAAATATTATCTTCAGCCATATAATATGTAACTATTCTCTATATACATCAGAATTTAATGTAACTAGTACCCATATTAGTATTAAGTTTGATTGCTTTCTCTATTTCATGTTGATTAATTGATTAGCATGCTTTTTAAAGTATTAGTACCATTACTGAATCAGTTTTATAAATATTTTCACAGTATTTGGATTCGCTTTCTTAACTTGAACGCCATTTTGTCTTGTAAAACTTGTCGGATGCGCCCAAACGTCTGATGTGTGTCTGTCTTCGGTTTTGAGGTAGTTGATGATCCCACCTCAGCTGAGATGAAGTTGGACGAGCACGACGATTCGAGGACGACTTCTAGAACCACGGGAGTTGTTGGAATCGGGGGCATATTTGAGTGTATCGGATTCTGAGAATGGGAAAGCGGGACTATTTGAATCTCCTCCTGTATTTATTTAGTAAAATCAGTGGGACTAGGATAGGATAGTAGTTTCCTCCATGATTGTAATTGATGGGAGAGAAAATCTATCCATTGTAGTTGAAAAAAAAAAATTGATGTAGAAGAAATAAAAATTAAGAAAGAGAATTGGAATATGGAAATTGGGATTTGAAAATTGGAAATATGAATTAAAAATTGCAAAAACTAATAAAATTAAAATACGAGCAAATTGAAACAAAGAGATTAAAAAAATAGATGAATAATTGAGAGATTAGAGATTAGAGAATATGAGAGAATGAGAGAATTTGAGTTGTGAGAAAAATGTGAGAGTTTAGGGCCAATTTATGAAAAAAATGGGAAAGAAAATGACGAAAAAGACCCCTCTAACAGCTATATTTCAAGGGTAAGGGGTAATTTGAAAAAAAAATTAAATTTATAGTTTTTTATTTTTTCGGCCAACCTGCGGGTGACCGTTATTGTATAACAGTCAACCTGTCGGGTTGACAACAGCCAACCCAATGGGTTGGCGGTCTCTCTTAGAAGAGACAAAACAGCAACCCACCGGATCGGGAGTTGCCATTTTGCAACCCGGCCCACCCAGGGGTTGCTGTCGGGTTGCGTTCAACCCGGATCGCAATTGCGGGTTAGGTTAGGGTTGACCCGCCTAACCCGGCCCATTTGTTCCACATTTGGCCAAGCTTACAGATTTTGCCATTTTGGATTGCCAAGAGCGCATGGTCTCTCAGGAGAAAGGCTTGTAAAGGTACATGTCACCAGCACTGGACATAAATTTGTGGCCAAATATGATCTGTTCAATCACATTTTTTACACTTGAAAAGTTCCTCTTGGAGTTTTTCGACATAGATGGACAACTGAAGAGTTCTTCGAATAACTTTTTTTTTTTTTTTTTTTCAGATTAATTTATGCATACTTCAACTAATTCCTCGAGCCTTAAAGTTAAGGGTCAGATAAATATCTAGTGACTATCCATTTATTATTAGTTGTGGGGATTCAAACTCAAGACCTCTTGACTAATATATCCAAGAGTCTCAAACAAACCTTCAAATTATCTAGAGGTAGTTGAGTTCTTAGAATATCTATATCTTAGAATTTGAATCTTCTTATGATATATAACCTTTCAAATTTTGATCGAACGAAGATAGTGATCTTATATAAACTGTATGGTCAATTGAAGAAAAAATAAAAAATAAGTCATATTAGTCAAAATCTTGGTTCTTGTCAACAAATAAAAAATAAATTGTTAGGGTTGTCAAAATCTTGTTTCTTGTCAACAAAGAAAAAGAAATTGTTGGGGTTGTCAAAATCCTGTTTCTTGTTTCTTGTCAACAAAGAAAAGAAAAAAAAAGGTTAATTGAAGCAAAATATTTGTCAAATAAATTGTTTTGAAATTTTATGTTTATTTGTCAAATAGACATGGATTATCTGAAATATTAGTTTATCACAAAAATTTTATATATAAATAATTTACATATTTAGTATTGCTATTCCTTTCAACGTGTGTATATATATATATATATTTAACCTCCACGTACTCATAAAAAATTTTGGTTTCAACTCAAGCCTTATAAATAAGAATAAATTTTATATTGTAATAAGTTATCATTTTTTTTGATCTCATCTTAAGAAATTTGCCTTTACATAATAATAATAATTATATGTATATTGCAAAAAATATATGTTATGTTACATTAAATGTTTAAGATGAAATAAAATATTTATCTAAAATTGTTTGAAACAATAATTTATGCTTTAGAGATATTACCACTCCTTTTACCTTACTGGTACATAACAAATCACAAACATAGACACTTTCTTGTTAAAACTAAAATATTTATAACTTCCAAACATGTTTATTATTTAGAGTTTTTTAGCATGAAACTTTTGATATTTCCATACTATTATCCTCAGGATTATCTCTTTCTTCTTCTTGTCTAATTCCAGTAATTATTTTTTCTCCAATTAAAGTATATACGACTTTTTGCTCATTTGAAAGATTGAGGAAAACATTAATATCAATTTAATTAGTATACATTTGACTAGTGTAGTGAAGTTATCGAATCTGATCATTTAATTCTGCAATGACTCTTTGATATTCATTTCCGTACTATCTTAATACTATTAAAATAATAAATTAAAATCTTAATACTATTTAAACATAAATTGAAATCCTAATACTAAAACATAAATTATAAAATAAGAAATTAAATAATAATTTTTGAATTAAAAAAATAATTCTTATAACTATACCCCTATTAATTACACTCTTATTAAGTTATAATCCACTCGTAATAATAAATTAAGAATTTATTTTGATTCTCTCATTTTTGTTAGCTTAAAGCATAAGCACATAAGCATTTTTAGCAGCGATCAAAAGTGAAGCTCTATGAAGTCAAATTTTTACAATATTCCATATTTTGCCCTCAATATCTCAAAGATACATTCTTATAGAATAAACTTTTGTTTTTCCAAAGGCTTGGGAAATATTCCATGTGATGTGAGATTCTCTTATTGCCATTTTTTTGGAATTTGTTTAAAAGCCAATATTCCACTGTATAACTCAATATCTCAAAATGTGTTTCATCTAATATTTAAATGCTATTTTCAGATATTAAATTTATAAAAAAACCAAAAAACTAGTTTCCTTGGATTATGATTGAAAAATAATTTTCAAAAATTGAAATCAATTCAATTGTTTAAGTTGGATCTTGATAATTTTAATATTTGAAAGTGTGTTTAATATAATATTCAAAACAGTTTTAGATGAAAAACTAATATCATTTTTTAATTTTACATTAATTTTTTTTGGTTATATTCGAAAACTGTTTTTTAAAAACATTTCGACTTATTTTTACCAAAGGCATTTTCGTAAGATTTTTTTTATATTTCTTGCTTTTTAAAACAAAAAACTGTATTTAAATTTTATATCAAACAGACTCACATTTCTTTCTAAACTTTTTACACTAGTTTTCATGATTATATTTGAATTTTTTTTTTTTAAGTACTTCAATCAAACATCTTTTATAATATTTTTTTCTCCTTTGTTTTCAAAAGCAAAAATTTACATCTAAATTTTTATATAAAACAGTCCTGAGGTATTTATTATTAGGGTTTATAACCATTACCTTATCGAGGTTTGGCTAAGTTTACACATGCTCAAGCTTTTAGAAAATAACAATTACCCGAAAAATTTAAAATGCATTAGTCAAATTTCAACATATATTATAAAAAGAAAATAATGCCATTTGTTTATTATACTGACCTAACAATTTCAATTTCGTCAATTTTTATTTTAAAAATATAACAAATAATTAAATTTTATTAAATCATTTTATATAATTTATTACCATTAAAATTGGTTTAATTTTCAATTACCGTTTTAATTTCGCTTTATCACATCTACGTGTCCGGTATGAAACTTTTTATCACTTAACACCCCATACTATTTAATATTAAAATTAAACTTACCACCCTTGCACGTGATGCCTTCCAAAGAAACTAACGGTTACGAGTTATTTTACTACTTTGCCCTTCAAGATGGTGAGGAAAACAGTCAAATGACTATAATATCCATAATAGATATTGCAATTTAATTTTCCAGAAATTTTAAAACCAATAAAATTATAATATAGTAAATTAAATAAAAAAAAAATTCTTTATAACATAATCCAACGCAACACAACAACTTCCTATCTATGGCCGTCAGCCTACTTACAAAATAGCCACCACAATAATTACTATCATACCCTATCGTGTCTACACATGCTTCCTATTCCATCAAGACTCCTACCAACTCCATCGCATCTCCATTAGCAGTCATTCATTTGGTATTTTTTTGAGGATTTGCATTTGACATATGTAAGAGGTATTAAATGTTATTGGTTTTGAAGATTATATGAATATCAGAGGTTGTAATTTTATGGGGTTTTTGTTGCTGGTTTTCAAGTTCTTAAATTTTAGTTTATGGGGTTATGAAATATTTAGAAAAAGATGATTTCTAGATTTTCTTGATATTTTTTCAAGAAATAAGATATTTAGAAATATTAATATTAGTTTTTTGAACTATTTTAAAATTTAATCTTCTTAAATTTCTTAGTGTTTGACCGTTTTGTCCTCCGATCAAAAAAATGTATTAACGTCTGTCAAATTTTTGGTGTATTATGAGACTAGCGTATAATAGGACAAACATGAAAGAATATCGGAGTTGGAGGGCTTACAGAAGAGGTTGTTTTTCAAAAGGTCAAAGTTTGAACTAAACTCATCACTACCAGACACCAGTCAGAACTAAAAATTAAACCCTACCCTCCTCAGTTTCCAGCCACACTGTAACCTTCCAAGCCGTCATTTCTTCCAAATCCCCATCAATGGAGGAAGTCTGTGAAGGAAAAGACTTCTCCTTTCCTCTTCAGGAGGAAAAGATTCTTGAATACTGGAATTCAATCAAGGCTTTCGAAACTCAATTAGCTAAAACCCAGAACAATCCCGAGTACATCTTCTACGATGGCCCGCCCTTCGCCACGGGCCTGCCTCATTACGGCCACATCCTCGCCGGGACCATCAAGGACATCGTCACGCGCTATCAGTCGATGTTGGGGTTTCACGTGACGAGGAGATTTGGGTGGGACTGCCATGGGTTGCCGGTGGAGAATGAAATTGATAAAAATTTAGGAATAAAGAGGAGAGCTGACGTTTTGGAGATGGGAATTGATAAGTACAATGAGGCTTGCAGAAGCATTGTTACCAGGTAATTTTGATTTTCTTTTATGAAAATAAATGATTTTGTGAAATTTTAGAACTTGAAATTAGGTTAATTGACTGTTTAGTTTTGTGGGTATGTGGGAAATGATCAGTACAATGAAGCCTGTCGGAGTATTGTAACATGGTAATTTTTATTCTTTTATGATGAAATGGAATTCTCTTGTGAAGTTTTAGAGCTTGAAATTAGGTTAATTTGTTGTTTAATTTTCTGGTATGTGAGAAGTGATAATTCAATGAAGCCTGTAATTTATTTTTTTAATGAAGAGGAATTATTTTGTGACGCTTAAGAGTTTGGTTGTTTATTCATGAACAGGTATTATTTTTAACAGAAATGTTGGCGAATTTGTAAAATTGGCAGGTGGTTTATACTATTTCAAGAAAAGTATTATGACAATGTTTATAATATTAAGAGATCTTTTAGATGAAATTCAAAATGGAGACTGCTTCTATTTTTTTTCTAAAAAAAAGTTCAAGAATGTCTTAAGGTTTTTCGTGTCTTGATAACTATATAGATTTATGATGATTTATTTGCCACTAGATATGTGGAAGAGTGGGAGCAGGTGATTACACGAACAGGTAGGTGGATTGATTTTAGAAATGATTACAAGACGATGGACTTGAAGTTTATGGAGAGCGTTTGGTGGGTGTTTGCACAGCTTTATGAGAAGGGACTTGTTTATAGAGGTTTTAAGGTTAGTGTGTTTCTGCTTTCTTGGTTTGTTGTTTAGCTGTTCCTTGATTTATTCCTTGGATATATTGAGATAAAATAATTCTTAGTGATGGTTGTTTATAACTGTTTTAATGTGGCTCTAAAATGCTGGTGCTCATTATGATGTTCTAATAGGTCATGCCATACAGTACTGGCTGTAAGACGCCACTGTCTAACTTTGAAGCTGGTCAGAACTATAAGGTTTGTGATTTTAACTTTTTGGCGATCTTCATTTTATATCATTGTTGGAAATTGAGTTGCTGAATAGATATTACTGCTGTCATTCTTAGTCCCGTTAAAGGTAGTTCGGATATTCAAAAGTTTGTGTTTTTGTTCTGATTGTGTGACCATACCAACCTTGCAGCATGTTAAAATTGGAACTGTTTGTGTTGGTGCAACTCCTGGTCCAAATCCAAAATTGTGATTATTGTTGTGTTTGCCTATTTAACACTCTTTGAGTGATACAGGATGTGCCTGATCCTGAATTAATGGTGGCTTTTCCAATTGTTGGAGATCCAGACAAGGCAGCTTTTGTGGCTTGGACAACAACTCCTTGGACCCTTCCCAGTAATCTTGCTCTCTGTGTTAATGCTAATTTTAAATATGTGAAGGTTAGCTACCTTTGATTATTTTTAATTTATTGTACCTTTGAGATAAAGATATATGATTTAGGTTTATACTTTGAACATGAAGCCTTGTATGTTAATTTCCAAAGCATGAGGTGAATTTCGTTTGCCTGAGTTCATGACTACAATAGGACTCTGTGCAAAACCTAAGAAAGTTTGTACCTGCATGCATTCATTTTTCATGTTTGAATTTGTTAGGGTCCCACATTGAAAGGGAAAAGGGTGAGCATGTGGGTTTTAAAGGCTTGGGCACCCTCCCTTGGCAAGCTGGTTTTCCAAGGAGAGTTCTACCCAAGCCTATGAAAGACCCATGGCCTAGCCCAAATTGTTGAATTATTGGAGTGGGTTCCTGTCAGAATTGAATGACTAAGTCGTGATTTCCCCAGTTTATTTATCATACTAAAAGGTATCCAAGTATTAGCATTGTGGTTTAAATTAGTTATTGCACTTCCATTGGTTATTGATTTAAATAATGAATGTGTGGTTGTTTTACAATTGCAATTGTACTTAGTAATCTAATTCGAGATTAAGATAATACACAGGTTCGAAACAAGTACACGGGAAAAATCTATGTGGTTGCTGAGTCTCGATTGTCTGCACTGCCCAGTGAGAAGCCAAAGTCTAATGTAGCAAGTGGACCAGCTGTTGATTCCAAGAAATCGAGTTCTAAGGTCAAGGGATCCTTGGGTAAAAAGGCTCAAGAGGGAGAGTTAGCAGGATCTGCACATGATAATGAATCTTATGAAAAGCTAGGTGAATTCTTTGGGGCTTCGCTGGTAGGAATGAAGTAAGTCTTTATGTTGTGATAAATGAAGCTTTTTTGTGATACCATATGTGTTATGTCTTGTAAAATTCTATATTTTATAGAAAGTAAAATAAGTTTTGACTCTTCAACTAAAATTCAACTAGACTGTATATACTTTTTTCCTATTAATCAAGTTAATCGTTTTATCTAGTATAAAGTAGTTCAGAGAGTTTTCAATTTATAAGACTGAATATGTATTGCAGGTATGAACCATTGTTCGATTTTTTCAAGGAGTTATCTGATACAGCATTTAGAGTTGTTGCAGACAGCTATGTTACTGATGACAGTGGTACTGGAGTTGTTCATTGTGCCCCTGCATTTGGTGAAGACGATTACCGTGTTTGCATAGAAAATCAAATAATCAGTAAGGTTTGTACTCGAATGCTTTGGACTAAATGCTTTTAATAAAGTGACAGTTACAATCTTTGGCTGTTGAACACAAATAAAGAGTGCCTGGTTTCACCCAAAATCTAGACATGCAACTCCCAAAATCTAGACATGAAAGACATAGCTGTACATGTTTCTATTTGTGATTTTGAGACATTAATTTATATAATTACAGTTTTGTTTTGTTAATCACAGCAATTAAACATTGTACTTTACTCAATGACTATTAGTCTTCATAAATTTATTAGTGTTTTCCATAGATGGATTTCATGTCATCCAGCTATCAGGTGCTCAAAGTAACATGGAACTTGTTGCCGGAGTAAAGTTAAGTTTTCTTGGTATTTGATGTTTTCACTAAGTGTTTATGCAGGAAACCTGAACCCTAGGATGATAGCATGAGTGGATGCTTTTTATCTGTCCAATAGTATCATTTCTACTCTTTGGTTTGTTTGTCCTACTTTAAGGTGTTCAAGAATCTTGCCAATCCAATCAAACAAAACAAAAGAAATCTAGATCAATTCCATTTTGATTGGTTTCTATCATTTGAGCTGTTGGATCGAATATAATTTTTAAACCAATGTTGGATGGGTTATAAGGTTTTTCATGAAGCTGAGCCAAACAAAATTTAAGAAAAGAAGAGTTTGTGGTGTTTTACAATCTTTTTCATCATTCAACGTCTAACTGATACCATTTTTCAACTTATTTGTTACTTATCCTGTTTTGTATAAATTACTCATGCAACAGGCAACTCCCTGAAAAAGTAATGGATTGTAAGGGATTTCAGTATACTTAAAAATCAGATCGGATTTCAGTGTTCACGCTTTGGTTTGCATTTGACAAAATTCCTTAGCTTCGTATCAGTGAAACCCTAGCCTTAGTAGTTTAATATATGCTTGCATTAGCTTCGGGATTGTATATCACTGCTCATCCCTGAAGGACTGTTGTGTGGTTGTTTGTTCTGTAGTTTCTTTTACACCCTCCATTTCATTTTGCTGCTTTTGTTTATGACCACCAGTTCATCTGCTCTCGTCTTGTAGGGAGAAAACCTGGTTGTAGCAGTTGATGATGATGGCTACTTTATTGAGAAAATTACTGACTTTAGTGGGCAGTATGTGAAGGATGCTGATAAGAATATTATTGAAGCTGTGAAGGTGGGGATAGTTCTGTCTTTCTGGTATATTATATAAGATTTTGATATCTTAAAACGTTTATAATTTTATGATGCTGAGAAGATGCAAGTTGTCTAAAAAATACCTTGAACCATTTTCTGGGTGTACTGTTTAAACTTTCTTGTTCAATTACTTCCTGAAAATGACATTTAAGTAACAAGAATTGCCAACCTGAGGGGATTGTGTGCTTAAGACCTTGGGTTTCTATAAGAGGTTGGGTAGTTAACTTCATGTATATATATATATATATTTATCCTACAAATTTCATGACTATCTTGGCTATAGGGGATTTGAAAGTAGTCCTTAGATTAGAATTTGGTGAACTTTGTTGGGTTGATGAATTTCTAGGTGTCTAAAACAAGAAAACAAGTAGTTTCCTTGGTTTCATTTTTGTCATCATTGTTGCTGTTAACTATAGTGCTGTGTGAGTTGGATTTGTCATCCCTTTTTAGATGTTTTCTGTGAATTACTTGTCAAAAGCAAAAGATGAGCGAAAAGAAATACGTGAATAATATTATAATGATTTTAGGGGTATTTTAAATTTAGCCATATCAGTATGTGAGCTTTTAATCCATTTCTTTATTTAACAAATGTTCTTTGTATTTGTTCAGGCAAAAGGCAGGCTTGTTAAGTCTGGAAGCTTTACCCATTCTTATCCCTTTTGTTGGAGATCAGATACTCCTCTTATCTATAGGGCTGTTCCGAGTTGGTACTAACTCTTTGCTATGATTTCCTTTTCATCTCAATTTCTCAATTGCACATTTTTTTTTTTTCTACCACCTTATATATTTTAAACCATTTGAGTTTGGAATAGTCTTATTTTTCTTTTACTGGATGACTTGTTATATGCTTATGTTTGTTTTTTAATTGAATTTATTATTTATGCGTGTGATATACTATGAAACTAAGACAATGTTTAGCTTCGAATTTTCTAATGTATGCCCATATCACCATAAATAATATCTTATTCTAACTGGGTTGTATTGTTTTGTTCTGTGCCAGGTTTGTTCAGGTAGAAACATTGAAAGAGCAATTGTTAGAGAACAACAAGCAGACATATTGGGTTCCTGACTATGTGAAGGTGAATTATTTTTATGCAAACCTCATCATTGCTCTCTTCTTTTGGCTTGTTGAATGTGTCAAATCTGATCATTGTTGTGCTTGGGGTCTGGATTCATATATCTTGGTGATCAAACAACATTTTCTACCTCCTCTACTTATTGATCAAAGAGGAATCGTTCTGATCTTTCCTGTCATTATTATTATTTATATGTTTTCTATATGAAAATTGAAATAAAGGGGAAGGGTCTCCTTTTTATGGTTATTCAACTTTGGGGCAGATATAGGTGTTGAGTCTTGCTAAGGATATCTTCATAGAAGAGACGACTTTTTAATCCAGCTTGTTAGATAGAGCTTAATGCTATAACAGCCTGTGGGATAAAATTCATTTTTTGCTTCTCTATAGGTCTTATTTTCAAATGATTTTGAAGACTCTTCATCTTTCTTCATCCATTCAATTTGGATGGGTGTTATATTTTGGGTCTCTTTATGGATAATCTCNTTTGAAATTCTTTTAAAGTTGCTTGATTGCATTTTAAAAGTGTTTATAAGATTTGTACTAAGCTATTTTATGGCTCATGGAAGAAGTTCAAATTTTGAGCTTCTCTCATAAGCTCCTTTTTAGCTTATTTAGAGTATTGAAATTCAAAAATTATTCTTATAGAATTTTATAAATTTGATTCGAGCTATTCTTGTACATTGAAACCCCTTTTTGGTTAATTAATATTCAAAAGCTTTTTAGTTTAATAAGTTTTTCTTTCATAAACTCTACTCAAAAGAGCCATATCAAACAGAAATGAGAAAGCTAAAGGCTGAGATTTAGCTCTAGTGAGTACGTTAAAATGAGAAAGCTAAAGGCCGAGATTTAGCTCTAGTGAGTAAGTTAGCTAGCTTGAGGGAGAACACACCAAGCGTTGAACAAGCTTCTGAATTGTATGAGTAAACAAGAACCCTAAGCACAAGAGAGACAGTAAGGTTGAGTGATTAAAACCTAGAAGGTGAGAAGCTAAGACCACTATATCTTCGTTGTTCTCTTTATTTAGTGTAATCATATCCCTAGTAGATATAACCATTTTCAGTGAACCACTTAAAATCACTTGTGTATGTTTTGTTGTACTTGTTTGTTTGCTTCTTGATTTTAATCAATATTTCCTTTTATCCTTAATTTTCTTTTAGACAAGACTCTTTGATTAGCACTAAACAAAGTAGAGATGACAATAAACTAGGCTGGGATGGGGTACCCCTTGGCCCAGGACCGACTCGACCCTAATGACCCTAGCCCATTACAGGGATGACGAGTAATGCCCAAGCTTGGCCGACATGTATCTTGTAACCCCTAGTCTCATCCCATGTTAATTTATGTAATTTATTTACTCATGGACAATCTTTAATATATCTTTCTTTGTCATTCATATTAACTTAATTAATAGTATCTCTTGCTTTAATCACCATATTTTTTGTGTATAGGTTAATTGAGTTTAACATCATCAAATAAAATTACATTCTTGGATAGAGAAAGCACTAAGCTTTAATTTTCAAGTCTTATAAATCCAGGCCGTTTTAGTGGCCCAAACTGCAAGTAGTATTGAAGTGTAAAACTAACCAGACTCGAATGGCTCAAGTCCGAAGCAAAATCAACATAAAAGTTATTTTATTAAGGAGCTATTTGCTTTGTTTAATCACAAATGTTTGTAAAGATATAAGGGTGCCTTAATATCAATTTTAAAAATAATTCTAATATATATGGAAATATATTGCAGCTTGCTTCTAAGAAACCACTAGATAATTGCATCTGAGCTTTTGATATCATTCTTATTCACAAATAAAAACAATAGGAAGCATTTTCAATTGATGTTTTTATCTAGGAAATGAGAAAAAAATACCATGAATTGGAAAAAAGAATTTGCATATACTCATAGCAAGTTACCATTTTGTTTGATCGAAGTAATATATATATATAAAGAGTGAGTTGAGAAAATAAATTATAGAAATTAACATGGGCTTGACTCATACATAAAATAAAAAATTTAACAATGGCCGATGTTAAAAACTCAGGCCGGACCAAGATGATGACTGTCTCGGCCCGGCTTGTATCTAAGGTCGAGCTTTAAAACCGTACTCAAGCTTATGCCCATATCCACAAACAGCGGGTAATGCCTGACCCGTATAGGTTGGGTTGGGTACTCGGAATTTCACGTATAATTGCCATCTCTGAAACAAAGAAAGTTTATTTTGAAGTTTATTATATGGTTATGTTGAAATATTAGTTAATTAAGTAGATCTCATATAAGGTTAATTTTGATATTCATCTTGTCCATTTATTTTACATAAAATCTTAACTAATATCAATTTCAAGAGCATTTTGTTCATCACGTGTCCTTCCAGAACTTATACATAGGATATAGAACAATCTTAGCTGCTATTCAATAATCAACATGTTCGGAGTATATAAATTATCTCAAAATAATGTGAAAATAAAGCAAGAATAAAACAAAGAAAGGAAAACAAAAAATGAAGAAGAAATGGGTTGAAAGGGTTACCTCTATTGGTAGCTAAGGCGAGGATGCAATCTGCAGCTGCAAATTAACGGAGCTCAAGTTCTCACTTCTCAAGTGGAGTGTAGAGAGAATATAGATGGAGCTTAAGGCTTAAAATGCTCTTAAAGAAAGACCTCGAGATGGATTATAGTCTATAAAGCCTGTAATTAAAGTAGAAATGTCTTTCCAATAGAGCCAGCTGGATGGCATTGATCAGTGTGGGGCCAATTGACGTAGAGCCTTTAATTAAAGCTGAAAAATCATATATGATATCGAGTAAGTGGACCTCAAGTCAATAAGTAGAGATATCAACCAAAGCAAAAACGACATACATGTCATCAATAAGGGGAGCTATCTACTGAATCTCTATTATTGCGAACCGCCATATCTGATAATTTAATCAGTTTCTACATCAATAATGCAATTACCTTAAGGATTATCGTAAATTTTTTTTATTATAGTGGGCATGGCTTCAACCCGACCATGTAAAATGTTTGACCAAAAAACTATTATTTTTCTTTCTGTGTGAGTGATCAATGGATCACGAAATGAACACGACATTACATACATTTATTGTTTAAGAGAAAAATCTTCAAAAAAGCTAAAGTTATTGTTGGCGTAAGTTGTTAACAGAGGATCTTGTGGAGAGATTATAGGCATTCTTTCTATTTGTTATTCGGTGTCCACTGATTATGGACTACCAATAATTCTAGCCTAGATTTACAAAGCAGGGTATCTTTTCGACAAATATAAGACCTAAAACTAAAAGTCAATAAATAGACCAATGAAGCCACTAATTAACGTATAAGTCTCCTTCAAATAGAAGCAGTCAGATGATCGATAAGTGTGGGGCCATAGGCGAGAAACACATGTATTCGATATCTATATTAATTTGATCAATAAATGGAGCCATCAACCTTATCTATTTCAAGAGAGGTGCCAAATGATATTTTAGTTCTACATGAATAATGCTACACAACTTTCAGCTAAGGGAGTGTCCAGTTTCGAAAATATTTTATTATCAAAATGGTAAGATTATCAATAAAATAGATAATTTTAAAAACTAATAGGTATACATACACATTATTATTATTATTATTATTAATGGGGTATTTTTGTCCAAAATAATTAATTAATAAGGTTAAAGAAGTCATTCAAAAAGTTGGGTTAATTGTTAATTGACAACAAAAGGACATTTGTGCCCATAATTTTTTATTAATTATTTTGGACAAAAATGCCCCATATATATAATAATGATGATAATAATAACACACACACACACACACACACACACACATATATATATTTGTGGCATTTTCTTCCAAAATAATTAATAGTGAGGTTAAAGAAGTTATTCAACAAGTTGGATTAATTGTTATTTGACATAAAAAGGAGGACATTTGTGTTCAAAAATTTTATTAAGTAAGGGTAAAATTGGAACAAAAATAGGATTATCCGATAATCTTAAAATACTACATTGTGAGTCGGTAATCACATAACCTCCTATGGATGCGTTTGGATCGGTGTCATATAAAATAACAAGGATAATATTTGTTTATTTTGTTAGATTTCATTGTTTAGTTTGCAAGTAATAAAATATAACGGGTATCTTTTATTGTAAATAGTGTTTACTATTGGTAATGTAGAGAGTAATCTGATACCCTCCCCCTGAGGTGTTATTAAAAAATTACTAGGTAATCTGATTTTTATACCTATTTTGTCCTTAATTAAATACCATTTTGGACAGAATTACCCTCAAATGTCTACCAAATAACCAGCAGCCTAACCCCCATACATTTGAGAATTTAGTTAAAACACCACAACCATAAAAAAGTTTAAAAGCTAACAAAATACCCCAAACTACCCAAGACCATTGCCGGCTGCCAGTCACCTGGCCATGGTGGCTGGCAGACAGCAATCTATGGTCGGGAACCACCAGATTTGACTGTTTATATGGTCGTTTCATGGCCAAAGATGTGGTTGTGAAACGGCCGTAGATCTGTGATCCATGGCCGAAAATGGCTTTGTCGGCACACGACCTACCATATATGGCAAGTTGTGTGTCATTCCGTTGACTGTCGACAATGGTGGCTTGCTGTTGATAGTGGCTTGAGATAGGGTGATTTTGCTACAAATTAAAGTTATATATGGTTGGAGTGTTTTAGCAAAATTTCTAATGTAAAGGGTTAAAAGAAATGATAATAAAAATAATATTATATGAATATTTAAAAAGAAGGGCAATTTAGTAATTTATATAACATTCCTACCCATTTATCCTCTTAACCAAACATATAAGTATAACATATTTACCAATTTATTTGAACCAACCAAACACATTTCTCTAAACATTTCCAATAATCTTCAAAATGATCTATCTTTCTATTAATATAACATCCTCCGATAATAAAACATTATAAGATTCAAACGCACCCTATATCATCTTTCAAATTACTTGTGAAAGAAAAGATTATCAGAATCTCTTATTAGCATCTAAACCAAATAAGGTAATGACCGGATTAAAAGATATATTACTGAAATAATCCTCACACCCCTAACCATTCGCAATAAGGGTGGGAAAAACCAGTTAATTAAATCGATTAACCATTTTTCGAATCGAATCGAAAACTATTGTAGTAGTATAAATTTCATTGTAGTTAATTTGGAGGTGTTGTTAGTTGTGTTGACTTAATAACTTATTCATAGTAAATTTTATTTGTTTATTTTACACTCATTAAAATATTATAAATTAT